CGACAGACACCATTTCCATTTGGGTTTTCACTATTTCGACATATCCACTGTATTTCAAGAGTAGGGTGGCTTACAATTTTCAAACCGACTTCCTGTCTCGGAGCAAGAGGGTGCTGCACACACACACAATAAACATGGACAATTCATTTTCGGTCATATTTTTAGAAGAAAATTCTATGATAGTTGTAAGCCGAGACTTCACATGATCGGGACAGTCTACACTAACTTGGCACTCAAACATATGTTTTGTATATATACGATATACTTCATAGTTTATTAAACCACATAGTGACAAAGACAGTCGACAGTGCACTCCTGTACCCCTTCTTCTGCTTACAATAGTTAATGAAGAGGAGGAATTCTTTCAACCCCAAGAAAATTGATCATATCTGCTTTTCCTATTCAGTGGTCTTAGCTTTTTGGGCCTTCCTGTGCTAACTCCTCACTAACCAAAAATGGCATTGTACCTTAGCTTAGTTAGCATCATGCACCTCATTAGCACCTGAAAAGGTCAGAACCAGGATGCAAGCAATGGCAAAAAAAACTGTTGACAAGAGTGGGATTCGAACCCACGCGGGCAAAGCCCATGAGAACCCGTGCCAGTCTTAGTCCTGGCAAGCTTTCGCTTGAGTCACACGCCATAACCACTCGGCCATCTTGCCTAATGATGGATGGTAAATTTTTTGTATATAATATTTATATATTAAAAAATTATGGACCAAGCTCACATGCGTGAATTTGGTCCGCCGGCGTCGGAGGCTAAAATTTGATCTGATAAAATCTGCAGCGATCAGATAACTTCTGCCGCTATTCTTATCGATACGGATTTCACTACATTCGACTCACCAACAATAGCCGGACTCATTCCCGGCGCATACTTCTTTACAGAGCATACCTTTTCAGTTTACTTTATTACAATTATGGCGTTGAGAGTTTCCTCTACCAGAATTGCAAGCGCATTGCGTGCTGCAAGGGCTAATTATCGCTGTGCGAGATATGCGTCGTCAGTATCGGCGTCGTTAAAGGACTCCACCCTTCCGCAGGGTGTGAAGGACTCAATTGCGGTAAGTAGGCTTGCTTACTACTGTATACTTCCAATCCGTAATATCTAACTGTTATGACTATAGAGAGACTCTTCCCTTCCCAATGTTGATCCCCATTCGGACTCGAAGACCGCTGGTCTAGTTAACTCACAACTCCCATACATGGTCCCAACCTATGTGCGCCCAGCGCCAATGTTCGAGAAGGGGCAAGGTTGCTATATGTGGGATGTTGAGAACCGGAAATATCTGGATTTCACAGCCGGCATTGCGGTAAATGCGCTGGGACATTGCGACGAGGGAATGGCCCAGGTGATTGCTGAGCAGGTAAGCATGTTCATTTGGTTGCAGGCATGATTAGATATAGACATGGAGTCATTGACATATCTATTAGGCCCAAACCCTCATTCACACTTCCAACCTCTACCACAACCCCCACACCGGCCTCCTCTCCAAACAACTGATCCAACTCACCCTCGCAACCGGGGGCATGACCACAGCCACCCGCGCCTTCATCTGCAACAGTGGTTCTGAAGCCAACGAAGCAGCCATTAAGTTCGCCCGCAAGGTCGGCAAGTCCTTTAATGACAAGAAATTTGAATTCGTGTCCTTTCACAACTCCTTCCACGGCCGCACAATGGGCAGTTTGAGCGCAACTCCCAATCCTAAGTATCAGAAGCCCTTTTCGCCTATGGTTCCGGGATTCAAGTATGGGACATTCAATGATGTGGAGGGAGTTAAAGATTTGGTTACCGAGGAGACGTGTGGTGTTATTGTGGAGCCGATTCAGGGTGAGGGAGGTGTGAATGTTGCGACCCCAGAGTTTCTCCTTGCATTGAGGAAGAGGTGTACTGAAGTCGGCGCTGTGCTCATCTATGATGAGATTCAATGTGGTCTAGGACGGACCGGGTCATTCTGGGCCCATAGCGGATATCCGAAAGAATGCCATCCTGACATCCTTACCACGGCGAAGGCGCTCGGAAATGGTTTCCCCATCGGCGCTACCATCGTCAACGACTTCGTCTGTGAGAAGATTCAGACTGGTGATCACGGGACCACGTTCGGTGGTAATCCTCTGGGATGCCGTGTCGCTTCCTACGTTCTCTCCCGTCTCTCATCTACCGAAATCCTCAAGTCAATTCCTGAAAAGGAGCTAATTTTCCGCAAACACTTCTCCCGTCTACAAGCCGTCTTTCCAGACCAGATCAAGGAAGTCAGGGGTAAAGGCCTTATCCTCGGACTTCAGCTGAATACTGATCCTACGCCTATTATAACGGCTGCTCGGGAAAGAGGCTTACTGATCATTAGCTGCGGAACAAATACTTTGAGGTTTGTTCCGCCGTATGTGATCACTGAGGCAGAGATCGACGAGGGCATGAGGATCGTAGGGGAAGCTATGGAGAGCGTATGGGAGAAGCAGGATAGTGTTCCTGGAACTCCCGGACAAGGTGATTTGCAGAAGTAAAGGTGGGTGAAGGACTGTCTGTAAAAAGTCTGTCTATAACAGTCTTGTCTAGCGTTGGTGTTCGGGTTTTGGGCGTCATACCATTCGAGAAAAGAGGAAAAACAGATTTCGATTTTAATCTTGTGGATTTCAATGTGATATAAGGTGATCCTTGCTTTTCTCCTCTCTTTGAACTTCCATTAAACGTTCTCTCTGAATATGCCACTACTTCTACTTCTCCACATATTCCCACCGTATGCCTCCCAAGGTTTCATCTCAACCTCTCTTAACTGTCAGTGGTAGTCGCCGAGATCTACTCATGTGATGTAGCGTGAAAGAAATTAAGCAAGGAATTTCAGCATTGATATACTGCATTCACTCCATAGATAGTTTGCCTGTAGGCCTCACCCAAATCATCATCAAAATAACCCCAAACTTACATATGCACTTTATACCAACACTTCACCAAACCCATACTTTATGGTGGTCTTATAAATTTCTCGCTGGTGACACTGTAGTCACGACGAAGACTGGCTATTATTTGCTGCACTATAAAACCTTCCCCTTTAACTTTCGAAAAGATCAGCATTTGTTCGAATGAAATGAATCAATTTTTGGACATTAATCCCTTACAATCGAGTGTAATACAAAATCCAATAAGACATCAAAATAATTTAGAAGTTCCTTCCTACAACCTGCTGTAAATACAGTATTAACCAATATCACCGATTTTACTCCTTTTAACGCTGAAGTGAGGTTACATAGGGATAACGCACAGACCAAAAGTGGACATGCAGGTAGTTATCGGCATTCCATCTCACCCCTCACCAACCCCCTCCTCTAACTATTCCTTTTTATTTACACCCGCAGATAGCCTTGCAGTTGATTAGCACAGTTTCGCGAATAAATAGCATGACTTTTCTCACTCTTCATCCCTTTCTTCTCTTCACGAAATGGCCTCGAGGCTTTATTCTCCCGCACTGCGGAATGTGTTTAAGAGCTTGGGTGTGAACTGGACTGTTGCTCTAAAAGGACGAAGGAGTTTCTCGGCAACACCAAGATGGAATCTTCAAACGAGAGATATGAATGAGGAGCATCTCTCAAGCTTGAGGGTGAATCAGTGCAGGCTGTTAGAGGATATTCACTACACATGCCAGTGGGGTACTGGTGAACGTTGGGGAGAGTAAGTTGCTAACTTCAACCCCCAAATCTTGAAACACTTCCATAGGACGTAGAGCTGACATTACCCCTCTCAGTGCTCCCACCGAGACAGGAATGTCTCGCCTCGCGCTCTCGGACTCCGACAGGCAAGCGCGGGACTGGTTCGTCGAAACTACCGAATCCCTAGGCTGTAAAACGACTATCGACTCTATGGGCAATATCTTCGCCATCCGGCCTGGACTCAAGAATGACAAAGCTCCTACGTTCGCGGGATCGCATCTGGATACCCAACCCACAGGCGGACGATATGACGGGATATTGGGAGTTACAGCTGGGGTAGAAATGCTCAGAGTGTTGAATGATAACTGGGTAGAGACAGAATATCCTGTTGGAGTTGTTAACTGGACGAAGTACTTTCACCACCCCAGCCTTATATAGGTGGTATATCAGGGTTAGCATACTAACACACCCACCAGCGAGGAAGGCGCCCGCTTCCCAAAATCTATGGTCTCTTCCGGGGTCTGGGCCGGTTCCATCTCCCTCGAAGATGCCCACAACCTCCGCGAAGTCCACCCCGGAACCGCAACCATGGCCTCCGAACTTGCTCGAATCGGGTATCTGGGGAAGACACCCAGTAGCTACAAATCCATCCCTATGGCTGCCCACTTCGAACTCCACATCGAGCAAGGCCCACTTCTAGAAATGGCAAATAAGAAAATTGGCATCGTAAAAGGTGTAAACGCATACCGCTGGTTCACTGTAAGGGTGCAAGGCCGAGACGCCCACACCGGGACCACAGACCTAAAATCCCGTGCAGACGCCCTCCTCACAGCCGCGAAACTAATTCTCCACTCGCACCGTCTCGCAACCGCCAACAACGCCTTAGCAAGCACAGGCATCCTACACCTAACACCCGGTAGCACGAATACTGTCCCCGGGTCCGTGACGTTTAGCCTCGACATCCGTGCCGGAAAAGACGAGACCGTAGACAAGATGACCCAGCTAATAGAACGTGATTTCCCCGCCATAGCATCGGGCTCCAATATCCTCAATTCCCAAGAAGGCTGCACACCATCCCTCCCCCTTTCTGTGTCCATAACGCAGGACTTCAATTCCGCCGCCATAAACTTCCATGACACATGTATATCCTGCGTCAAAGAAGCTGCAGCGTCTGTACTAGGGCTCGAGAAAGTCGATGCTCTGACAAGGGAGATGGTGAGCGGCGCAGGACATGACAGCGTGTATGCGAGTAAGCGGTGTCCAACGAGTATGATTTTTATTCCTAGTAGGGAGGGGATTAGTCATAATCCGAGGGAGTTTAGTACGGAGGAGGACTGTGCGTTGGGAGCGCAGGTGTTGACGCAGAGTGTGGTGAGGTTTGATAGGTTGAGGGCGGAGGGGAAGATATAGGAATTGAAGGGGATGTTGGCTTGTGACTTCTAACGTAGACATGTGCTTCATGAGATTCATAATAAATAGTTGTGAGTAATAACGCACACTTACCATTAGAGGATGTTTGAGACGAAATTTCCTCGCTTCAAGACAGATATATCGACGTAACGAGAACAATCAAGTAAATTCACTATAAGGCAGTTCGAAGAATGCAGTTTGTCTCTGCGGGTATCATGAGCATTGCATCTACGATATATCATGTATTCGTAGGAATCAACCCCTTTTTGTTCGTTACATGTGAACATGAACCGTGATGTCCCACCATATCGCCCTTTCGCCCAAACCGGAAGTATTTCTAATGCCCAGAATAGTCTGTATAAAGACGAACAGAGGTCCATCCCGCGCCATCAACAACCTAGTGCAACGATCCGCTTAAGAAGCAGGAGCGGCACCACGTCCGAAGCCACCACGGAACTCGGGCTTGAAGGAACCAGGGGCACCGCCCTCACCCTTCTCGCCAGCATCACGGCGACGGTAGCTGTCGCGGTCGCCACGGGGTCCGCCACGGCCGCCTCCACGGCGCTCACGGTCATCACCGCCCATCATACCGCGGGGAGGAGCGTGC